GACTGGCTTACAAGCCTTCAAGGGGGACCCTAGTGCTAGGGAGCATGGAGGAAAGCAGAATCTCCAGTGGGTACTATTCAGTCTGTCTGGGCAAAGCAGATGAAAGGAAATACAGATGGGTAACTTGCGATACTGTAATGAAGAATGCTTATCAGGACGGATTATGAGGGTTGGAAATGCAAAGGTAAGCGATTTGGAACAAGGAAGGAAGTGATTAATTCTACAGGCTAGGAGCGGAGCTATCTGGGACCTTCAAAGGAGAAGAGCCGAGAGCGGGACCCTACCCAGAGAAACAGAGGTGCCTGAGATGGAGACAGACGATGACATGAAGCAATGAAGCAGCTGGACACTTTGGATCCAGAGAGGGAAAGGGACTATGGACCGAAAACTGGGGGGAGGGGAGGAGGAGGAAGTAAGTGTAGGGGGCGGGTTTCTGGGATATACCCTTTGGCTGGTTGGTGATGCATGGAGGGGATTGGAACCATGGCAATGAGATGATATACGATGGAATGAATGTAAAACTAAAGTTCTCTGATGTAAACGACCATATAATTCACAATAAAACATTAAAAAAAAAAAAGAAAAACACAGTTAATAGAGATAATGTTCTACCTCCTAGACTGCTATGTAGCACCTGGGATCTCCAAAGCTTGTGAACGACCCATCTAAGAAGTAACTATTACTGTTAGCCTGACTCAAATGAGAATGAAGAAAACCAAAGACTTAAAGAAGTTCTTAGTCCAAACTGCTAATTAATAGCCCACATGAACCCTGGTTGTCACTAACAGCCACTCAACCAGGACCACAGTACAAGTTCCTGGTTAAAATGGGTAAGAAATGTAGAATAAAACTCAAATTAAAAAAAGACCAGACTTAACTGGTCTAAATGAGACTGGAGGAACCTCCAAGATTATTGTCTTAAGACAGCCTTTTAACTTGGAACTAAAGGCATCTCCAAGGAGCTCTGGTAGTGAAGTGGTTATGAGTCGGGCTGCCAACCTCAAGGTCAGCAGTTCAAAACTACCAGC